ATTAGTTTGTATAACCAGCATAACAAATACATACAAGTATGTATCTACAGAAGCCAATAACATGTATTTATTACTTGTCTAAGCTACTGCACGTATCAGTTAAATAAACTTCCAAAAAATTTGACCAAGATAAATCAGAAATTAATTAATATCTACACTATTAATCATAGAGATGGTGACCTTTTGCGCCAAAGGTCTTGTACCCCCATTGTTGTACACGAATGGTTCTGTCATGGCTTATCAGAAGATGGCTTTACGGTCTCTCCAAAATAACAAGGCACAGTCATTTTTAAATGATTAAAACATTTTAGAGGTATATATTTCTCTTTTATACCTATCTAAATCAAAATACTTAATTCTTTGTTATTATTATAAATTTAAAAGAGAGTTTGTTTATTTTATTTTTTATAACACAGGTGGCAAATGAGCTTGGAGCTCACCTGATAGTAATTGACTATCGCTTCCTATGAACACACCTAAGGAAATGCAGGTGTACTGCTGGCCTTTAAAAAAGGACACGTTCTTTTCTTGAATGTTACAATATCGTATCGGTTTGGAAATACTACTACTGGAAATTGATTCCAATATGATGTGACTGAAAGAAGGTGCCATGAAAAATGTATCGTGGGAAACCGCCACTCATCTAGATGGTTGAGCTGGAACTTTAGTTTGTTATGTTACACGACGTTGAAATTTAACAGTAGATATCTATATATTTATGTGTGTGTGTGTGTGTGTGTGTTCATGTAAGAAACAAAATACTTGTTTTGTATGAAAGTACGTATGAACTTTTAACTTTTCTCTTCTTTGCAAGTAATAAAATTCTATGAAATCAGTAAAGATAATTTCAATTAATTTATACTAAATATACGGAAATTATTAATTATCAGTACTATAGAGAAATCTAAAATAGATAACTATTGTTAAATTAATTATGAATAGAATTTTGTAGATAATGAAAATGCCTGGAGAAACTAGCTTAAAACAGGTATGCTAAAAATAATCTATAGATTAAAAATTATACACAACTCATTAAGAAATTAATTTATGCAGGAAAACAATATTCTTTCTTTAATATCTAAACCTAACTGGATTAAATATTCAACAAAGAAGACAAGTAAGATAGTAACCTCAAAAAAGAATATTTTGTCAACTTCAATTTTGACAAAATCAGTAATAACTTTTTTAGTAATATTAAATCTTAACATTCTAAGCAAAAAGTTTTTATATTTGTATATTTGTTTGTAGTGGATAAAATAAAAAAAAAACTATTTTACCGATTTTAAAAATTCTTTTATCTTTCGTAAACAACACTATCAGAGAGGAATATAGACTGTATTATTTTCTATAACACGTACAAAGCCGAAACGAGTCACTATTACCTAATAAGCTCACTATTCATGTTTTAAAGCACGCCGATATGGACGACGAAATTATTTATAGACAAATTTAAATAGGTATTTGGACAGAGTGTGACCGCAAATAAAATGCACACTATATCCTTCTTCTCAAATACTAGATGCACATTAAACTAACACATTTTTTGGATGCATGACACATTACTACTGTCCGTGTAACTCGTTCGTTTCTACCTCGATCATCAATATTGTAGAATGAGCTCCCTTCTTCAGTTTTTCCCTTACAATAGATACCTACTATATGGAGCATTTCAAAAACGTACCTACAAACATTTAAAAAAGCGGCAACACAAGCAATCCCTCGTATTTCAAATGTTCATGCACAACGGTAGTTGTTATCCATCAAGTAGACCGTCTGCTCGTTTGTCCCCCTAATAATAAAAAAACCTTAGTTGGCCTTTAAAGTACCGAGAGGTAACCAAATAAATTCTTCAAAGTAATATGAAACTCTTGCTAATATTAATTCGAACATTGACGCCTGAGAATAATGACCTAATAATTATGTAGCATACGTCACAAACGAGAAGTAGTAGGTACTCGTTAATTACTGACACTTCAGGGTTTAGAGAACCATTAATAACCTTTATTGCTTCCTGGCCCGTCACTAAGTACGATATCTGCTGAAAACGTGTATTACTTACTAACAACAACAAAAAAGACAATAACTTACGCAATAATAACTTTCTTTTATGACTAATAAATCTTGCAATAATTGAAACTTTGAAGCAGGATTGGCTGTTTCTCCTCTATTAAGGCATATAGCCTTAGTAATATTTATTACTAATCTAAAAGTGAGTATGTTTGTTTGTTGTTTCGTACCACCTTAACAACGGTTTAACAAATCGTTATGAAATTAGATACGAGTATATATGCAGCTACTATTTGGAATGGAGAAGCATATAAGTTACTTTTTATTTCCAGTCAATTAACATATCTCAGGCACGCGGATGAAGTCGCGAGTAAAAAGTAGTCATATTTTTTTATGAAAACTAGTAGAATCATTAGATTCCAATGGGTAGGTATCCCAATTTTAATTGTCCTCATCTTTGCAAAAAGTAATGCTGTGACAGAAAGTACCTTTGTTTCCTTTACTTATACTCTACGACATTGCATCTTACCAAATTTCATGATTTCAAGGCAAATAGGAAATACCCTACAGATGTTTACAAATATTAAAACATATAAACGGTCGTATCTTCTGACTGTGTTGACTTAAAAGTTAGATTTTTTGACAGCTTCAAGGGATTGCAAACTTGAGTATTTATATTACCTAGGTAATTTCAGCACAATATTTCTACGCAATCCTGAGAAATATAGTCTTGACAGTAGGACAGACAGACACACAACAAAGCGATCATATAAGGGTTCCATTTTTCCTTGCAAGGTACGTAATCCAAAAACCAAAAGGCAATTAATTATCTAATTCACGTTTCTACTTTAATCACGTTATATAATTATTAGAAACCAAAGATAAACTAGTCTTAAATGATTGACGAGACTCAAACAAATTATTTGTATGAAAAATATTTACATCTAGGCCAAAAACTGATAGACAGGCGAACATTGCAATTACTAAACATTCCATTGGCGAAAAATTGTTAAAAGGTCATATTGCAACAATTTCATTGAACATTTATTTATTTTTTCAATTATTATACAATTTCTTTTAACATTATCATTGAATTACTTACACGTAAATCGTTTCAATAAAAAAACGTTCGAGTTTGCATATTATATCGTCTACAATTTATTAATCATTCAGACAAAAGAAACTTACCTGCTCAAATATTTTTTTATTGTAATTTATATTTTTTTAACACAAGTAATGAAATTTGCACCAAAACATAGTTACTTAATACTAACAGTTTATCTTTGGTTTGAGTATTATTAGCACATAGATAAACGATGTCAATATCCTTTAAAAAAAATGTACGCTGACGTCATCAAATTATATTACATCTAAACAATTATATCACGATGTCTATATAAATATATTACAAAATACACAGTAGGTTCGGCTTTATCCACATTTTCCACGGAATCATAATTCTTATTTACACTTATTGGTCAATCCATCAATACGAAAGTAGACGTAAGGTGACAATACTAAGAGATTGTCTGGTCAGATAAAATGTATTTATTAGTAACTAGCTTTTTACGCCCCTACATTGTACACGTTAATTTCAGGCGTAAAAAAAAACAATAAAACAGACTTCTAAATAGTGTATCACATTAAAACATACACAAGATTTTAAATTAGACCTTTAGGAATACAACTGTGAAAATTGCCTCTAATTTGGTACAGTAGTTTTTGCGCTGTAACTGGGAAAAATAAAATACAACAGAATTTCTAAAATTTATTAATTTTGTCTTCTATTGCTCTTATTAAGACCCTTCTCATTATTTTTTCTTAAATATGTCACATAAACAATAAGAGACACAAAAAGAGTTATACACATTATACTGCACAGGAAAGTTCCATTCCAATATCACCCCACCATACAGTATAGATAGTAAGTCAATTTACATAATGTTCTTAATTTCTTTTTCGTACCAATCAATAACTACCTGCAACAGTGGTTGTGACATTGGGTGGAGAAGGGATTGTTAGTAATGGGGATCAGTAGCCTCATTGCTAGCAATATACCCTGTCAGATCGGCCTCCTCGTGGTTCCCCCTGGAAATCATCGTGATTGATTTACTGTTAGATTCGTCACGGTAGGCTAACTGACCTGCCTTATAGTCACCTATCATCCCTCACTGGTGCCCCACCAGTATATATTAATAACGCAGTATAATAATTCATTAAAAAAAGTGATTCTGACTTACTGCAATTTTTGAAATAGTAAAACAACTTCGCTAGCTATGTCTGTCTGTTTTTCACTTATTTCTTTTAAACCACGCAGTAGATTTTGATAAAAAATTCGCTATCTTTTACATAGTTTTTTTACCGAAGGTTTGTGTATACAACACACCCCAATAAAACCTTTTCCCAAATAAATAATTGGACCTTTATTTTCTATATTTCAAACAATATTTGAGCATAGATACATCATTCAGTGAAATATAGGAAACCCCAATAATTAAATAAAAGTTTAATAAATAGTATTATATGAATAAATTTGCATTTTATATTCAATAACTTAATTCTCTCTGTCACATACGTATTTTTTATATTGTGGATGTTTATTATTCGACTAATTGAAAACTTGATTACTTTTTTTAATATAAAAGACTGGAAAAGTTTCGTTATCTATTTAGAGGCCCCTATAAAACAGTAAAGTTTTATCTTAACACTACACTGCGAAGATATGCAAATCGCCAACCCCAATGACGTACCCGTAACTTCATTGAACTAACTAATCTGAATATTCCGTCTTAGACAAAGACGCATCTATTTTGGTTAATTAATTACGAAAACAATCATTGATGTGAATTAAAGGTGTACTGGTATAGGTTAGAGTTTCATAATTTGAAATTATAGTATCAACATAATATTTCAAATATTAAGCAACCTACTTTATTATTGCAATCAGTTTCAGATAGTTTTCTTTTATAAATACAACTTTCTTATTGTTTCAGATGCGCCAATTTCTTGTTCCTGTTATACTACTCGCAATAATAGCGCTTTCTTCAAGTAATGTACTTCCAATTATATCCTTATATGAAGTAAAAACAGAGCCATTTGACTTAAACAGCCAAAATGACAATATCTTTAGTAATAAATTTCAAACTAGAAATATTCTGAATGATATATTTTATAATGTACCAATTGGTACAACTGAAAATAATAAATATGCAAAAATTCGTAAACTTAAATATGACGAATGGGATAATAATCGAGTTGAAAATGATCTTAATAACATAAAGAAGGACAACAGATATAATGGAAAAGGATTTCGAAAAGAACAGTGGCACAACTATCCGAGACAATTAGATCGCCTTCATAAATATTTGTATGATGACAATATTATTGATAAACGAAATTCAAACCCTGAAGATACCACAGACTATATGGATGAACTTGAACCGAAATTTCTTGATAGAAATAATGATTTAACTACCAACGAATTTCTTATATACAATAACGGTGATGAGCCAAATATTTATGATGCAGCTATAGCGACTACTAACCCCTTTTTAATTCTTAAAATACGTTTAGCATGTTTGAGTAATAAATTAGAAAGTATTGATTTATCTAAAGATATAAGCACCATATTGTCTGAACCATCATCAAGTATTGATAAAAAAGAAGAAGAAAAAATATTTGCTAATGAATTAAACCCCTCTGTGGATGCAGTCAAAGTAAAACGAGAAAACTTGAGTGAATCACCAGAAAAAGAACTTACAGGTGGGAAACATTAAATCTATTACTTAAATATACAAGAGTAGTTCGCTAGCAGAGCGCTTTTTAAACAATCAATCAGAAGCATTGAAAAATGTCCAATAACTTTTGAAAATTATCAAATAATTGTAATGTTCCCGTACTTCGTTCCGAAATATCTAAAAATTTGTTATTATATAAAGATTCTAGGAGTATTGACACCAATACTCATGTATGGAAGCAAATCGTGGGCATGACAGAAGAAGCATGAAATCAGGATAAATTCTGTAAAGATGAGAGTTTTGAGAAGTGTATTACATTAAAATATGTGGTATTACATTAAAAGAAAGAGTGAGAAATAGAGCGATTAGAAAGAAGTGTGGTCTGAAAGATGATGTAGTGACAAAGATCCAAAAGGAAATGTTGCATTAATTTGGCCATTTTGAGAGGATGGATACAAAAGAATTATTAAAATGATTTATCAAGACCGCAATTCGAAAACACATCAATTATCATCTCCAAAAGTAATAGGATCCTCGGTGTTAATATCTCGCGCACTGTAGAGTTCCAAGGTCATCTAGAAGATAGGGCCAAGCTGGCATCCAAAAAGCTCCAGTTGCTTAATAAAGTGAAACGGCATTTTAAAGTGTATCTATTATTACATAGAAAAATTACAAAATTAATACCAGTTTAAGTAGCTGTTTCCTTATTATTCAAACTGAATATTTTTTTAAGTTATCTAGAAATCACAGAAGGTCATTCATTTATTTCTGTCAAGACTATAATCTAATTTATTCCCATTACATCCTACAGCACAATTACTTTCATATAATTTATTATTTTTTTCCAGAAAACGATTTAAATGGAAAAAGGTCAGTAAAAAAGAGAATATTTTCACTTTGGAGCCGTTTACAAAGTCTCAGTCCCAAAGGACATGAACTGCATCATCGCCGGCACATTCATTCCTTCTACGGTTTACCAAATAATGGTGGAAGTGGGGTCATATCAGCAGAAACCAGAGCGACTTTAATGCGACCTCCTGGATCTCCTTTAAGATGGGGTTAACCTACTTATTAAGTCCTATACAACACTGATTGAATTTATTATTTTTTATGTTTATGAATGAAATGGAGAAACAAAAATCGATTCAATAAATTTTCATTGTTCTATTGAAATTTATGTTCCTTATCTAAGCATTATTTACTCCTAACATGTTCATAAGCCTTTAAGTCTGCAGTTAATGATATATTCATAAATCTTGCTTTGTGTAAGTGAAGTGTGTAAGATCGGTAATTAGGAGATTGTATGAGACCCTGTTTACTAAGACCTACTTATTTACACATTATATATAATGTGCAACAATAAATTTATTATAAAATCCTTGTTTCTCGTATTAATAAAATAAACTTAAAGAATAAGATAAAATTAAATAAAAAGGTGAATTAAAAGTTCACAGATATAGCAGTTCATACATTACAGCAGCGGCCAGCAACTGAGGCATTGATGGACGAACGTGCAAATGTGGACCGAGGCGTAGCCGAGGCATACATACGTGAGTCCATCAATACCTAACTGTGGCCAAGGCTTGTATAATACTTTTCTCAAACAATGCGCGGAAATCAAAAACATAATTTTACTTTTTAAGTTCAATAGCGAATAACGAACAATAACAGTTTTTCACGCTCCATAATGTTCCTTTGTTTTTTTTTTTCAATAAACAGCTTTCTATTTGCAAGCTAGTTCGAAATTTAAATAAAACCTTTTATTAGTTACCTCCTTGTAGCCATGTTTCGAAGTATAAGGTCATTCCATTTTTAAACTACAGGACAGATATGAGTTTACATAGTGATTTATCTGGCCGCAAAACACGACAGATACAGATTTTCATACAACTTTTGCCGGCCGCTGCCCGCATGTATCTGGCCAGTACGGCAATTTTGATTTATCTCGAAGAAGATTGTCAAAATAATGCTCTCATTTCCAAGCATGTTTGAGAAAATAATATTTTTTTGTTTCTCCATTACTTTAAATAATTTATTATTGACTGTCAGAAGTCAATAATTACTAATAATCCGTAGATGGATTTATTCACTAAGCTGAATAGTACAATAATAATGACCAAACATATTTATCGAATGTGTGTTTGGTGGTAGAACATTTGTGACATATATTTGTATCGACTGTTTTTACGATATCATACAAATAATTAATTATGATACAACATAATAATATATAAGTAGAAAAATATAGATTCGTAAGTATTGGACTGTGGAATATTAGATATTTTTATTTCAATTTGCAGCATATAAATAATGATGCTTATTGTCGTATATATTTATAGTCGAAGTTCCATAGACATTTTACTTCCACGCCTATTGTGTCTATACTTAGTAAAGGTATTTTATTAACTCTCATGATAATAAAATTACGTATATTGTCATCATATATGTAAATAAATACCATGTATATCAGCTTTCCTGTTTTATTTCATAAACTCATAAAAGAAACTGCTAAATAGTATGAACAATCCTTCAAATGAAAATAGTTTATTTCTAGCGACATCTCGCTGTGTATGTGTGAATTACTAAACCAATATCAATGTTTCTCTTAAAATATAAAAGTGATAACAGGCAAGTGTCATTGTTACAACATAAACACCTACTCTGTGATTTGCATATCAGTAAGAACATTGTGTTACTATTGACATAATTTAATCTAAAAACATTTCAATAAGAACATCAAATTTTAAGTTTATCTAGTTTATTCATTATCATTTCAAGATTTTTTTAATAATGGGAGTAAGTATATTATTTACTACTTATATATAGATAGGATTCTACTTACTGCAATATTTATTTAAGATCGCCATAGACTTGAACATATACTGAATAATAAATTAAAAATAAAACTCAAGTTTACTAATCCACGTTGTTATAAAACTCAAACATTATATATAACTAATGTATGTTTATAAGTTTATAACCTCAAAGAAATTAGAAATTCTTTCATTAATATGTATCTAAACAAATTTTGATACTTATACATAGATTATATTAAATAGGGTTGCCAACTTTTTATTGCTCAACCCCAATGATTCCTACACTAAGTTAAAATAGTTGAAATGAAAAAAAATACTTACCTAAATACCTACAATATGAAGTAGATCTTCCTCTTGGGTTACAAATACATTTTTATACACCAAACATAATATAGAACTAAATATATATATATATAAAAAAAACGTATCCAATGTAATATGTATATGTATGTAGATGTAGATATAGTATTTTTCAACGATTCGGTGCAATAAAATAACAGTTCAATTAAATAATCGTAACGAAATTTGACATACACATAATACATACTTATGATGGAGAAAAACATATACCATTTTTCATCTCGATCAATTTACCCCGGACAGGCGGAAAAGCTGCGGGTAAAGACTAATAAATCATATACCTAAATGACACCTTTTGTAACTACCTCCAAGGGTGAGAGTCGCGCAATCCTCTACGGCTTCTGGTCATCTTCTTGTTCATGGCGAGTACGTGCTGGTTTAAACCTAAAAAGCATTGTATTCGAAGAACGGAACATTGATATCGTAAAGGAGCAATCTCAACTCACCGACAAATATAAGAACATCAATCCTTCACAGAAAGTACCAGCCCTGATTATTGGTAAGGATTTCACCAAATTGTATTGTCTATTTTAGCAAAACATAGTGTACGAAATTGCCGTATGGTCACGGCATAGAATAGACCTCTTCCTTGCTCGTGGATGTCATAAGAGGCCACAACCATTAAGTTCCCTTAGAACTTAATGGTTGGGGTATGGGCAGCAATTTTCCTCTTAAAACACCACCAAAATCTAACTGCGGTTGCCAATCCGCCTGTCAAGCATGGAAACTACTTGCAAAACTCCCCTTTTGGGAGAGACCTATGTTCAACAATGAACAATAGACGGCTGATATGATGATAATGAATGAACGAGTGAATGTAAACAAATAAATAATCTGGCCATAAACCAATCTGCTGGTCTGCAATAATAGTACAAATTAGAAAATCTTTTGATTTGACACTTATTTAATTTTTGCGATAAATTCAACTTAGTTATTTTTTTCATTAAGTTTTATTGAAATAAACTATACAAAATATAATACCTAATACTCTAATCTAACTATTTCTAATATGAGTTCCGCGGAAACTAGGGCTCTTGTAGAAAAGTCTCCAAGGTTGCACGAAATTATTTCCACAATGATTCAGTTTTATTCTTCATGTTAAAAATTAAGTAGAGAATAAAGTATTTTACTTTTAAAATATTTGTAATAAACGCTTTTTTTTTCTTATTTAAACTAGTGTTTCATAAAATAAAAGGCATTTGTGGATATTTTGTTATCTCAAAAGTTTAGAAACCCCTATTATAATCTGTCTACAACTTCATCTTTTTAAATTTATACGAGTATGAAATCAATATAATAACTCTTTCAATTACAAAAATAATCAAAATCGTTCGCAATTGAGGAAAATATAGCGTAATGTACACAAAAATTACAATCAAATTAGAAACCTCCATCCATGTTTTACGTATGATAAAAAAGATCACCTTCTTGTAAACGAATTACTGGGATTGATGAAATCTATTGTGAATTTTGTAACAAACAGAGTAATACAATATCACGTCGAGATCACATCTAAATGAAATCTCGAGTCCAAAGTCTATCTGAAAATAACATATAAGTATTTGAAATAATTTGGATGAATGTCGTTTGGGAAAAATTCTATTACCCGAGCAAAGCTCAAATGTGAATAATAAAATCTTCAAGTTCTTATACCTGTCACCAGTATTTTATTTGTTTTAAAAATAAAAAATCTTTAAACCCCGTACAAAATACCTAGTAGACGTAAAAGCAGCTCATAACAGTAAAATAGAAATGTGCCTCGCCTAGATTTATGCATAGCCTCTCCGCATAAAAGCCACAATAGGTTCGACGTTGTTATCTATAATATAATACTACCGCATACTTTAGCATATAGCATTTCATCGATAACAACCGTAAACTTAAAATTGTGGCTTGAATTAGTCTAAAAGTATATATAGACAATTATATATAAGATAATTTAGGATAAGTTCCATCAAATGTATTAACTGAATATTTTTCCTAAATAGACATTTTGAACCTTCCTTACTAACACAACGTGTCCAACTATTAAGTTACTTATATACCTAGTTAGTGTGTCTAAATCTGTGTTTCGGTCATTGGGAGAAACGCTCGCTATTACTAATAAACTATGAACTAATTTCGATTTCACCGAATATAACGTAATATTTTGATAGAAAATATACACACATCTTATAGAATATAAACATACATATAAAATATTTACAGTTCCACATACAGATTGAAAAAAGTATAAAATACTGAAAGTTAATATGCTATTAGATAACACTTTGTACATGTATGTACATATATTGATAAAAGCTTCTAATATGCCAATATCGCTTTGATGTCCCCAAATGGGTTCAATATATTCACGTTTCACAAATAACATAAATACGGGGATGTATATTTCGTGTAGACAATTTTTCCATTCTATATGCCAGTACAGTACAAATAACTTCGGAGTTGTATATAACAAAGTAAGTAAGTACAAAAGATTTTGTAAATCACAAATAAGTGACATTATTACCTTATTAATAGATATAAAAAAAAATATTTTGTTTCAAAATTGTCTATAAAAGTTAATCGAAGAAGATAAGATTCTTTACTCATCACGATAAGAAGAACTGATTCTATCAACTATAAACATTGGTTGGTTGGACACTTAACAGCGATCATCGAAACTTAAGATTGAATCTCGACTTGAACTTTCGAATATTTTAAATTTATATTAAAATTATTGCCAATACACTTTGTACAACACAAAGATGTGTCAGACCTTACACGGTTAGTACATAATAGTAATAAAGAACTAAGATAGAATATTTCGCATATACCATACTACTTCTTGTGATAAATTTATTCTTAATTTTGTCCATTTTTTGTCATACCACACATTCATCTCAACATATGCATCTCTGCTAGATGCAGTCCTCTTTCATCTATCACCTTTGCTAGCCAACACTTCAATGCGTACAAGATAGCAAGCCGAATTATGCTCTTATAAATTTTCCTCTTAAGTTTAAGGGGAATTCGCGAGTCACAGATGATTGCCGTAACCTACCGCGATTTCATTCATCCTGCGTTAATTCAGTGCTTTACTGTTCGGTCTAATTCACCATCACTTTATAGGAGTGTACCGAGGTATAGTAGTCCCATCAAGATTTATGACTAGGACTAGAGAAACCGCCGAAATCGCAAAATATGCATTCAGTTTTGGTTCTGCTAATTTTGAAGTCAAAACTCTTTGTTGTCATTTTACCAATCTGTTCTGGACCTCAGCTCTATCCTCACCGACAAGAATAATGTCATCGGCAAACAGCATATATCAGGTAGCTTCTTCTGTCTAGACTCGCTTTCAAAGCATCTATTATCAACAAGAGAAGTAAAGGCTTAAGGTCGATTCCTAGTCCACCCCACGATCACATTAAACTCGTCGTTGTTGCCAATGGCCGTCCAAACATATGTACGAAATTGACTCATATGGTCCGAATTTAATAGTAGGTAGTATTAGAGATAATAATTTCAGAGGTCCAATATGGCGAAGTTAAATATATTTTATCGTGAATTCTCTATCAACCTATATATTATGTCAACAGATTCTCTGGTTTACTCTTTTGGAAAGTTAAAGAATAAAACGTGAATAAGGACTGCTTCAGGGCAAACAGGCGAAGTTAGAAGTTTTCGAGTAATGAGTGCCTATTGACTGGAGAAAGTTTGTGTGTTAGCAGAACAAAAATCTTTTCTATAATAACATTGTTCTTTTCATGTCTATTGGGTAATATTGAACAATTAGAAATACAACACAAGGTACATTGATTATTTAACGATAACAATTTGTATTATTTTATTCATCATTCGCATTATATTACCACGCATGTCAGAAATAGGTAGTTTTTCGAGAGATTGAGAAACCACTTTAATAATAGTAACAAGTAACTACTTATTACTACTACTAACTTCTATAATAACATATCAATCAAACACACTCACATTACTTTGTAAACTTAAGATATTATAATTGAAAGTTTACGCAGTCAAATGTCAAATCTAAACGCAGCTTATTACAGGAAGATGTTACAGTGAGAGGTTGTTGCTATATAATTTATATAGACTGACAAATGATACCTACCCGCATTGCTCCCAATTTGGGCTTGCGATGTGCACATATTTAGCTCAGTAATCGCTGATGTCATCACTCGACAACGGCCCATCGTCCTCAACAATAGGCCCTTGCCTCGATAGAGTGCACACTTAGACAGCTTTGCTATTAACCACGTCGTTAACATATTAAATTGATGCCTATACGCGTAAGTATATTATTGTATAGATCTTAAAATGCTTGATATTTGTTACTACAAAATGCTTTCTCGTTGGGAAGTAGGTACTTAAAATAAAGAGAAGTTTTCCAAAAAATCTTACTAAATCTCATTGATAGGAAAAGGAGGACAATGAACTTTTTATTTTCCTCTTATTTGACAAAAATGTTCTGCAGTGAAACAGGTGACAGAAACACAATCACGTAGACTGTGTGATAATTTGAAGGGTGGAATATGGCAGTGAAATTACAGGGTACAGAGGCATAACAACATAGTGCACAGTCTCGTGGGTGCCACAGTGTGTTTTATGCTATAGATGGTACTGTTCACGTCTACAGGCGATGGTTACTACTGTCCATCTGTTGGACTGTCAGCTTGTTTGCCATTTTAAGTATCATAAAAAATAAAATATTTAATATCTCGTAAATAAATATCAATAGGTGATGATCCAATGAAAAATATCTTACATAACAAATGAACATTCCTTAATAATAACCCAAAATCCAGCAATAGTATTTAGTAGAGAATATTGATCGAAAATAGTGCAATATTATCGAGGTCTAAAATAAAGTATGTTACAGCCGAATGACATTGGAATACATATTTAAAGCATGTACAAGCAAAACAACTTCTATGAACTTAGTAAACGAAGTAATATTTTATTTCATTAATTAATTAATTGGTTCTTTTTTATATTTAAATATAGAAAAGAACCAATGAAAGGGTGCATCGTATATAATTATTTCCAGTATTAAAACGCCACAAGGAATCATATTTTCATTAATATATCACACTTAACGTAATCATCATCATCCTCATACCAGCCGTTAACTATCCACTGCTAAACATAAGTCTCCCCCTTGGGGGGTTGTGCCAGTTGTTGTCACGCTTGACAGGCGGATTAGCAACCGCAGTTAAAATTTGGTGAAATTTTAAAAGAAACGCTGGTGCCCATTCTTCGACCATTAAATTCCCTTAGTCACTCCTTACGACACCGACGCGAAAGGAAGAGCTGACCAATTCTATACTGAGTCCACACGGCTAACTATTTAACGTAATAGTTACAAATATTTTTTTCGAATTTTCAGAGAAAAGAGAAATTATAATTGTTATTTTACTTTCATTTTAAAATATAGCCTTAACTACATTTGAACGCAAATTAAATAGGATTTAAATAGGTTATCTTCGATAACCGTTCGGA